CAGCGGTGGTCCAAATTCCACATGATTAGACAAGAAACATAGGTAATGTGCACCCCTTTCTGGATGGGACTGTCAACACAATAGCGGCTATCCACAATACCACGGCCTGAGGATGTACCCGAGTTAACAAGTGGCGTTTACGGACGGGGACTTTTATTTGGAAAATATACTCCCAAGCACATCAATTTAGCATTTATTTCAAGTGCAATAACAGTTAACAAATATAACTTAGAATACTTGACTAAACAGTTCCTTAGTCCAGAGGTTTCAAGCAAAACTTGACTAAGCAGTTCCTTAGTCCAAWGGTTTTGAGCAAAGCATCGACTAAACAGTTCTTTAGTCCCAAGGTTTCACATAAAATAAACATGCAAAGTTTGTTCAATCTCATGCTTTTCCCCCATAAAATAAACAAAAGCAGTAAAAGTGGGGCCGTAAGAACTCACTAGTTTGATGAATATCCAGAGGTTTCCTTTAGAAGCTTTCTAGGCTCGCCCGAACTTCCTGAATAGACCAATAACTAACGCTAAATTACTTAAAGGTTTCTTGCCCAAGATAAAGCAAAGTTGCTTTCAATGCAATGTCATCAAGTTTTTATAAAATAAAGCCGATATTTCATTATTTATTTTTAAAATGAACCTTCCAAAAATCCATCTTATGACATCATTTTACGCCGCCCAAAACAATGATGACAGCCGCCAATTTCTAATATCAAGAATATTTAAGTAGGTTTGAGTCTCTTCTTAAATACCCTACAACCTTGAGTCACACGCCCCCAAAACAAATTGCATGCACCAAGAATGACAGCAATGATGGGGAVGGGTCTGAAGCTCATCATTTTCAAGAATTTAAACTCTAGCTTGAGCCATCATCTTCGAACCAACTCCAGAAAAATATTTTCCGATTCCATCGAGTTTTAAAGATAATAAATCTGATTAAAGATGCATGCAAGATCCTACCATACTGAAAATATGATCAGACCGTACATGCAAGGACTCTCTCCTACTTTCTTAGAGATTAAAGAACATGGATCACAAATTATCATCCTTTTGAAGACATTTGCAGGTCTTTGATGAATAATCTCCCCTCTTTAATTCCCATAAATTTACTAAAAGAATCGAATAGGTGAACAAGGATGAAAACTTTTGGATTTTTATGGAAATAGGATAGCTCAAAACATACCTTTTCTTAGAATCTTGAACAATCCTTAAGAGCAACGGAATCCTTTAAGACTTGTGAAAAGATGGAATCGGCTGGAGGGCGGTTGAGTTTAGAGAGAGGTGACAGGTTTAAGCTGAGAGTTTGGAAATGAGATTTTTCAAAGAAAGAGGGGTATTTATATGAAGGCTTTTAAAGAAGAGATGGGCTGGCCTCTAAAGGCCCAAGCCCTATAAATTATTATTTTTCTAAATAATAAAACCCCACTATAAATTATTCAAACAAAACAACTCGATATTAGATTTTAAAACTCCAACCTTTAATAAAATACATGGCCAATGAGATGGAACTTTGGAAATTTTAACTTTTAAATACAAAACTTATAATATCAATTTTATTTTATTTGGAGCTATTCTAGACTATTTGGCATTGCACAAGTTAACTTTGTCAGTTACTCGCCGAAACGTGATCTTCCGAACTAATCTTGGGAATTAAGTAAGATGATCTCTAATCATCATAGCTAAATCCTAGGAAGACTTAATTCTCAATAAAGATCCTAAAATAAGGTGCTAACCTGAAATTCTGAAATGACGGATTGTCACAATATAGCATTCAACAAAATCTAAAACAAGCACACATACAAACCGATTGATTATAAAACTCACACTTCAAATAAACACCACCTGAAATGGAACTGCATCTAAAGTCGTACCTTTAGGCTATTGGCTTTCCAGGTGAGCTGCAACCGCCTAAATCGTTCGAGTTACTCTTAGACCTGCTATACCAACCAAAAAGAGTATATAGTATTCAACAAAATCTAAAACAAGCGGCACATACAAGCCGATTGATTATAAAACTCACACTTCAAATTAAACCTAGCACTATAAAATCAGTAAAACCCTTATAAGACCAAAGATTTGTACAATGTGCATAAATATGTATATGCGTTTGGGTTTTGCAGGACTAATTGTGGGTCTTAAAATGACTAAACAATGAAGTTTATTCTTTATATGTAGGTGGGGAATGTATACACACAGTTCTTTCAGCCTTTAACATTGTTTCTTATGCACAGTTTTAACCTTTTAAGGTTGGATGGATGCAACACCTAGATAAATTTTGAGAATGTGAAAGTCACATGTAGATACTTCAAAAGGGAAAGAAAACACAAAGCACAAAGAGGGAAAATCAAACCTTTATTTTCTCCAGTAAAATGGGGCTTCCAGACTTGTATTCAACTTCTAGTGAAGAGAGAGGCTCCTGCAGTGATATAAAATAAATGTTGATCTAAGAAGATATCCACAGCTTAGAGTTCACAGTCTAATGGAAGCATAACCAAATCTAAAGTGCATTACTATGGTTAAATGTCAATTAATTAAAAAGTACAACATATACACATAACCAAAATCCAATTAAAGACATTTAAGAACAGCACCTAACAGGAAACGATCTTCTGAACACACAGCCATATTTTCTAAGTGACATTTGAGAAGTTGAAAATCTTTGTGGCTAACAATGCGTGATTGATTGATTGTTACACAATGTACCAACCAGATAGAACGATCCTAACAAAAAATTTATAAGCTATTAAACAGTAATCGTTCAAAAGAAGAACAATTCCAAAAGTCATTAATTTTGACACCCTAAGAAACATAAAAAAGATCAAATAAGAAACTTCGTACCTCAAAATTCGTATATTGATAGTAGCAAATTCTTAAACTGCAAACAGAGTCAATAGAAATCGAAATCTCTTTTCATCTGAGTCCAGATCTCATCCCTATAAATATCAATCGGTTTTACGGATAAGAGAGATTAGGGATGGCGAGAAATTCGAATTGGGTTTAGGGATAAGATAGAAATCGAAATCGAAATCAAAATCTATCTCAGAATCTGTTTGAAGTGATGAAATCGATTTGGGTTGGAATTGATTTCATCAGAATCTCTGTTCATGGGTTTGAAAAACGATTAGGGCTTGGGTTTAGATCAGGGATGGCGATAAAATGGGCGAATTAGTTTTAGGGATGGCGATAAGAAGGGATTGAGTTTAGGGATATGGCTTTAATAGGTTGTACTGTTAGCAATAGAGATTGTTTTTAAGTAATTTGGCATTAACTGGTAGGTACTATATGCTTAAAAGGTTGTTTTTAAGAGTTTTAGCCAAATGCTTTATAAGATAGTATAGATTATATATATATATAAGTAAAACCTTGGAATGATGATGTGGCAGCATGAGAATTATAAAAGTAAAACCTTAGGGTATTGAGGTGGCACAATGAGAATTGAGTATTCTCGAATGGTGAATCGTGGTTGAGTTTCAGTTGTCCCACATTGGTGAAGAGTTGAAATAGTTGTCCCACATTTGGTGAAAAAGATGGTGGCGCCTTTGTGTTGATTAATGAGGTTTGCCTTATAGGATTGTCTTACTTTGGATGACCCCTTCTGAAATCTATAACCATGGTTAGGATCAAAACCAACAAAATAGAAAAAAAATATTTATCTTTATATGTATAAAAGAAAACCTTGGAGTATTGAGATGACATCATGAGAATTGAGTATTCTCAAATGGTGAATTGTTGTTGAGTTTTAGTTGTCCCACATTGATGAAGAATTAAAATTTTTGAACAAAGTGTATAAGAAAGGTTGATTGGATGCTTTTGTGTCAAATCATGAGATTTGGCTCATAGGGTTGTATTATTTTGGATGACCGTTTTTGAAATCTATACCATGTTTGGAATCAAAACCAACTAAATGGCAAAAATTATAGTACAACTATATAAGTGAAACCAAAGATGATAATTTGGCAACATGATGTAGTTATTTATCTGTCGTCTTGGTGTTAGTACTATCAAAGTTTGACACACCCCTCTAATTACAATTTAAATATTATAGAATGTTACGATAAAGTGTAATATTTTTATCAGGCTTTTGTGTCAAATCATGAGATTTGGCTCATAGGATTGTCTTATTTTGGATCACCGTCTTTGAAATCTACACCATGTTTGGAATCAAAACCAACTAAATGGTAAAAATTATAGTGCAACGATATAAGTGAAACCAAAGATGATAATTTGGCAACATGAGGTAGTTATTTATCTGTCGTCTTTGTATTGATACTATCAAGGTTTGACACACCCCTCTAATTACAATTCAAATATTATAGAATGTTACGATAAAATGTAGTATTTTTATCAGTTTAATATCTGATATGTGGGTCATCGACCCCACTTGATATTAATTTTATTTTTTATGAAGGAAATTCCATTATCTTAGCTTGGTGATGTGGTTCTTCATGCATCGCATTAAACTTCCAAGATTGTTACTACAACTTACGTAGTCCTCTAATTTTCACTAGAAATATTATAGAACATTTCTTTTTCGTAACCTCAAAAATGAGATTTCAATTAAATTTTTTATAAAATTAAAATCGTGATTTTGTCACCTTAGATGAGATTTCAATTAAAATAGTGACTCTAATTAGACAAGCTACTAATATTAGTCAAACATTTATAGGGTAATTCCAACACTATTCTCGAGCATAATTAGATAATTTAAATTAGCATATAGTTCTAGACCGTTATCAAATCCTCTTAAAAAGACTTTTAATGTTAATGAGTAATTGTCACACACATTTGCTCTTCAAATTTTACTCTATAACAATTATTTTAAAGATGATATTATCGTAACCTCACGAGTTAATACCATTACCACCCCCGATTGTATCTATCTATTAAGAAAAAACACGTGGCTTACACCGACCGTAAGGAGTGAATATTTTGTTGGTGGTCAAAATACAAGAATTAACAGCCCCCTCACACGACGCCTCCCTCTACGCTCTACAAACACGTAGAGACGAAGACCACCAAGTCCAACTCCTCTCTCAACAAACTTCAATCGAGTAATGAATTCAACTTGCATTCAAGAATGAAGATCATCTTCTACGTGTTAGCTCTCTATGCGGCATTCCAAGGATGCTATTCTGCTGCTAATCAGCCCAGGGCCACCAAGAAATCAACTTCCATCGATCGATCCACCTCATCTGTAGTTCTTCCAGTCACCGGAAATGTTTATCCTAGAGGGTACACGCTCAATTCTCAGGATTCTTGATATCAGTATTAAGCCTGCGTAATTGGTTTTAGTTTTAATCTGTTTCTACAAAATTATTGTCTGATTTATTACGAGCCTTGTGGACTATATGTATAGATCAATTGATGTTCTTCTGTTACAACTGTTGTGAATTTTCTGGGTCTTTTTATGATTCAAGTTTATAGACCCTTTACGTCCAAGTCACTTTTTGCTTTTTCTTGATTTCCCCTTTCTGTTCCTGCTCAGATATTTGTATTTTTTTTCTTTATTAATCTGGATATCCAACCGATTATGTGATTGGACTATTAATTATTGATATACATCAAACGCGACTACCTCACTTTCCATATATATATATATATATAATATATATATACTACCACCTATTTAGTATAGAAACCTATGAAGTATAATGCAGGGGTGGAGTATGGGGATACCTCTTTCTTATTATGTGGATACCTGAACTAGTTCTCTCCGATATATATATATATACACCAAAGATAGCAAGTAGGATTTGCGTGATCAGTCAAGATGAGTAATACTAATACTTGAGGTAACGGTTGAGGAATAGAGTAGGAGTGCATGGATAATTCAGGTATATAATATGGATCCATAGCCACATGGTTTTGAACTAAATTCAGTAGTAGTAGGGTAATCATTGTTGATAGGAAAGAAAGAATACTTGGCCAAATAATCTTGAGGGTTGAACCAAATGTTTAAATTGCAGTTGACCGATCCTCAAGGACGATAATCTTTGACAAGTAACAAATTAAGACTAGCATTTTGTTCATTCTTCCTCTTAAGGATTTGAAATTCTTTGGAGAGGAAGAGATCTGTCCATATAGAGAGAATCATATTTCTTTTTCTGTAATAAATGGTTGATTGTTTTGCAAAGGGAAGTGAAGAGAGAAAGAAGTAGATGTGAAAGCAAAACTAGGGAGATGCTTAAAATTTTCTAGATCTAGTTAGTGGTAAACCAGGTCACTGATTGAGTTTTTTTTTTCTTTGGTTTGTTTTAAAAGGCGGAATCGGGACTCGAGGCGTTTTCCCTTGACGAAAATATATATGACACAAGTATATATATACACACATTTATATACAATATATATATATAATACTAAATTACTAAGGATGTTGGTTCAGTGGTTCTTGGTAGAAGAAAAAGTGAAAGCATGAGATAGGCTAAGAGGGTGTGGAAAAATTGGTTGCTTGGAGGAAGAGGAAAGATCACACGACACTTTTTGGATGGGAGGAGAAAATACTAGCTCTTGGGCTTTAAAATATTAAAAGTAGACATTGGGGCCATTAGGCTTTGAATTTTCAGTTTTTTAAAATAAAAAAGACACTTATACTATAAAGAGAAGTACTATTGCCATAAAGATTATAAAAAACCACAAGGATCTTCAACGGGTTCGAAAGTCTTTTGATTCCAGGCGGCCGGCCGATCCCACCAACGCTTTCTTACTTATCTTATGAGCAAAAAGGGTTCAGAAGCTTCAGCTACTTAAAGAGAAGCCAAAAAAACCATCTGGGGTGTACGCCTCAACAACGCCTCGTCGAAGCAAGGCGTAAGGCTCGTCCAGGGCCCAAGAGGCGCCGCCTCAAGTGCGATTTTGGGCCGCCTCGCCTCAAGGCAAAACGATTTATAAAACCATGGATGAAAGGCTCATCTTTGTTTTTTTACTATAGAAGGAATCTATTTTGATAAAATGAAAAAAGTCGGAAATATGGGAAAAGCAAGAAGAACACCAGTGTTGTAAGAATCTAATGGACTGTCCAAGTGGTTTGGAAGAAAGGGGGAAAATAAAGAGAGAGGCTTGACTTAAATAAATGGAAGGTAGGAAAGAAGAGACTGAATCTGGCAGATTTCCTCTGTTGAATGGTTTTAGTTGATGTATTTTGGTAGACATATAGGCATTTGTTTTCCGCTTTAGGTTTGATTGATTGTACGAATTGATGAACGCCGGAGTGCTTTTGATTTTACTGGACTTTAAGTTCTGGCTTGACCCGACTTTGTGGGTTTCATAGACTTCTTGTAGACCATTTAGTTGTCTGTTCACCAAAAAGTCAACAAAATCTGTTTCAAAACAAATAAAAACATGGTCGTGCGTGGTAGCTGGGACGTGATCTTGTGGGAGCACTTCCATTTCTCATTTTCCCTTTCACTTCCATTTCTGGTGCAATTAGCATTCTGATTTTCATGTGGTATTTCTATTTTGATCCAATCTCATGCTCCATTTATCAAATTTTTATTTGAAGGGTAAAATTCAAAACCATTCCTATCTCTTCCCCTCTTTAGTCCATTTCTTATGTTGATGATGTTGGATTCGAGCTATTTGAACTTGATCATAGAGCAATCTGCTGTTCCTTCATGGACTACTAAAGGGCACAAAAGGGGGCATTGATGTTTTATATCTCTTACATTTGGATCTCTCTTTTCTGTCCAGTTGCGGATCCTCTTGTTTCTTTTGGAGAGCATATATAGATTCTAAAGCCGAATCCAATTAACTGGTAAGTTATTGGTAGTGCATAGCCAATAATAGACAAAATTCACGATGATCACCAATGTGGCACATGATGTCACAAACCCTCCCACCTTAAATTTTTGACGTCCATGTTGTGCATGAAGGAAGACCGGATTAGAACCCCAACAATGCTCTAACAGGAGATGGGGAATTAGATATGCATGATAATTATGTTATTCTATAATATATTTTATCTTTAGCTTGTTGCTGTGTTTCTTTCCTTGGACACGGACCCGATGACAATGATAGTTGCTTAAAATGCAGATCCCTAACATCAGAGGTTATGTTAGATATGATCTCTAAGAGCCACTATCTACCATGAACAAAGCATGAAACACCAAAGAGTGACTGCATAATGGTGAAATACATAGCAAAACAACAATCACCGTATGTATCTCACAATCCATAATCCAGGAAGAGCCTTTTGTGGATGTTGTTTGGCATGTTATTCCTCAGTCAAGCTCATCATGTCCAGCCATTTCAGTTTTGTTTTCACTTGGCATTTAGGTTTCAGTAGTAGTTTCCCGGTGATGGTGGGGTGGCAGGGTTAGGGTTTTTAACTGTAGGGTAAGATTCTTTTGTTTTGAGCAAAGGCATTGAGAGGTACTAGGCAACAATGGTGGTGATGACCTTAGTGCTTTTCCCCTTGGAAGGACTAAGGACATATTTGTTAACAGTTTAATGAGACAACTTCTTCTGTCAGCTATGCAATGACTGTTTGGTGATTGCTTATTCAGTAAGCTTCTAGAGGGCCAAGTTTTTATCCGTACCTGCCCCTTTCCATTAAAAAAAATGCTCCTATATTTATGAAAAAAGTCCTCCCAAACAAAAACTTTCCCAATCTATACAGACAAATTAATCCACACATTGTTCACATAGGAGCACCAAACAGCCGTGTAGCTAACTAGCTGCTCCTGCCTTTTTTCCAATTTTGCAAATAGCGTATTGCGAATTTAAGTATAATGGTAATGGGCAAAATGTCAGGTTTTGCTGGGATGAACACTAATTGATGAATGGATGAATTAGATAATGTTCTTCTGCAGTAGGTCAACTTTTGTAGGATTAAGTGCAAATGAGGTCCATTTGTGTATGCAGGTACTATCATGTGACAGTGAACATAGGGAATCCACCAAAACCCTACTGGCTTGATATAGACACTGGCAGTGATCTGACTTGGCTTCAGTGTGATGCGCCTTGCACCCAATGCACCCCGGTAATTCTTCTGTGGTTTGAATTTCTTTAAATTTTCGAAAAGGCGTCATGATGTGATTTTGCTAGTTAAATGTTATATATAACGTTTGAAAAACTAATGACATACCTATTATTCTATGGTGCGATTAGAATCGCCAACTACCAGGGGCGGACCTAGGTATGATTGCCTGTGAAACCATAATATAATAATGTAGGGCTTAGAGTGTAAATTTTATAAGGTATATAAGTGTGAAACAATAAGTTCTTTTTGGGTGTAATCATAACTTTTTTTGGGTTAAAACCATAAACATTAAAACATTTAGGGAGTTTAAATGAAGAATTAATAAATAAATTGGAAATCAATTAGTTGTTTAACCCTTCAAAGACTTTAGTGGTTTTAATTTCCTTCCCTTCCTTTTTCAATTTTTACTTTTTACCCATATCATCTTGAATAAATAAATAAATTATTAGCTAAAATACATTAAAAATACGTATTGTTTTACAAATTACACCATTAGAAACGTCTCATGGGGGCAAGAGTGCCTGGTCGCGAGGCTTTCCTTTTTCCTCAACCAATTCGCTAACTTGTGCCCTTGACTGTCCTAGGGCCATCCCTATCCATTTCTTGGGTAAAGTCTCCAAATTACATTTGAAAATGATGGTTATCCGCTTACCTTTCATCAAAGGGGCCGTAATCAACCTCAAGATTTTAGATTCCATAAGTAATTTAGTGAGTGCCTTTCTAACTAGTCCAATATTGAATATTTTTTAAATTATTTATATTTTTAATTTAAACACAAATAAGAAATAACTTATATTGCATAAGTGTATGATAAATGCAGTATTTAATCTCGATTATACACATTTTCCTCGTTGTTTGTCACTGATTCTTCTTGAATTTCTCTAATAAAATTTAGAATGAACTTTAGGGTTTATTTGTTTAGAGTTATTTCGGGTTAATTTAGGATTAACTTTATAGGTTGGTTTGTTTATATTTGGTATCTCATTGTGTAGGCTCCCCACAAGCTTTATAAGCCTGACAAAGACCTTGTGACATGCATGGATCCACTGTGTGCATCTGTTCACTGGCCAGAACAACACGATTGTGGGTCTCCAAAGGAGCAGTGTGACTATGAAGTTGTGTATGCCGATAATGGATCATCTGTTGGTGTATTGGTTACCGACTCCTTTCCATTGCAATTCATTAATGGAAGTATAGCCAATCCTCGTCTTGCATTTGGGTGAGTGAGCCTCTTTCATTTGCATGTTTCTTGAATGCATGACTCTTAATAGTGTCATTCATATATATATATATATATACACACAGATGTGGTTATAATCAACAAGTTCCAGCCTCAATGGATCCACCTTACACTGATGGGATTCTTGGTCTAGGCATAGGCAAAGCCAGCATCTTGTGCCAACTGCATGAACTTGGTATAACAAGAAACGTATTGGGTCATTGCCTTAGTTCACAAGGAGGTGGATATCTGTTTTTTGGCGATGAACTTGTCCCTTCTTCAGGGGTCACCTGGGCACCTGTGTCAACAACCGAAATAGAGTGAGAAGTTTTTTAAATTATTATGCATATGATTCTCTTGCAGATTATAAATAGATGTCAAAACCTCCATACTCTTTTCAGAAAACACTACTCTTTGGGAACTGCTGAGCTCAATTTTGGTGGAAAAGCAAGTGGGGTAAAAGGTCTTCACATAGTGTTTGATAGTGGAAGTACCTACACTTACTTAACTGCACAAGCTTATAAAGCTTTAGTTTCTATGGTGAGGATTTTTTGATATTTCATGAGGTTAGCAATTCTCTGTTTTACCCTTTTGTCACTAATATCAAAACATTTGGCTGCAGATTATCAAGGACATGAAAGGAAAGCAGGTTTATATTGCAAATGAAGATAAAAGCCTCCCAGTATGCTGGAAAGGCTCAAAACCTTTCAAGTACATTCATGATGTCAAAAACTTATTTAAGCCATTAAAGCTGAGCTTTGCAAAGAATGTTGAGTTCCAATTGGACCCTGAAGCTTATCTCATCATCAGCGTAAGAAGTCCTGTCAACATAAATAAATTAAAAAAAACAACTCAATACTTCAGAATCTAGTTTAACACTTGTATACCTTGTTCCCAGAAACATGGAAACGCCTGCCTTGGCATCTTGAATGGCTCGGAAGTAGGCCTGGAGAGCATTAATATAATTGGAGGTAAAGCTTAAAAAGACATATTAATCCAAGGAAAGTATCATATATCCGTCCATATGTGCATCATTTACTACTTGGTACTTGCAGATGTATCATTGCAAGACAAAATCATCATCTATGACAATGAAAAACAACGGATAGGATGGGCTCCTGCAAACTGCAACGAACTCCCAAAGTCCTGAGTCTTTTTATTATAATTCCTTAACTATTAAAAAGAAAACAATAGAGGAAGGCTTTTGTTACATCAGGAACTTTTTGTTGTTGATTAACAGCCTACTTGATGATGGAGATCCAGATAATGGAGGCCTTTGCAAACCATACGAGCCCAACTTGGGCATTTTAAAAGCCTATTCTGCTGCAAAGTGGCTTGGCTTGAGAACTAATTAGAAGGTTGAGAAATGAAGAGCTTCCAGACTCTGATGGAAAACCGCTACAAGCAATTATTATATATAGCCAGTAAATACATAATGTTCGGTTACAAGGTGTAACTTTAGTAGTGGCAAATGTATATGCTGAGTACATGGAATTTTTGAGGAAATACAGACAGACTTCTGCAGCTAGTTACTTAAATCCAGGTTCATGGCTTTTGCTTTATATTTGCTAATGCTTGCAAGTAATTTGCTGGGCAACTTAACATAGCATCCTCACCTGTATGATGCCTGCTTCATCCAACAAATCAACCACTTATTAGTAAAGAGGAAAAGTTGAATCGTGCTTGGAGTGTATATACAGGGGATTAATCAAGTGATAACAACAAAAAGGTTGAGAACAAGTTCACAAGTTCTCACGTGTCGTTTGTGAGAGAATGCATGTGAAAAATACTGTAAATAGACATTAAAAATAATCACATTGTGAAACAAAAAATACTGTAAATAGACATTAAAAATAATCACATTGTGAAACAACATTACATTTTCACATGCATTGTCTCGCAGTGTGACACAACACATGACCGGTACTCATAGTTCTCAACCTTCTTTGTGGTTCTCATTTGATTATGCCCGTATGTGTATCAAATAGAAAAACTGCAACCAATATCAACTGTTAGATTCACACTATTGCATGTTACCTTTGCATGGCAGATCTTGGTTATTGCCTCAACATATAGGTTTTGGAGCGCATCCAGTGAAGTTATATCCAAACCAACAACGTCATCACCCTGACATGAATAAAATTGACTTGTATATTTTAATTCTAACCCAGGATGCAAAAAGGTTGAAATCAGTTCTGTGCAAATGCATTATTAAATGATTGACCAAAATGATGCATAAATGATCCTGCATAAATGAATCAGTACTGAGCTTGTTATCATTTGACAAACACAAATGACATGATATAGACACTAGTTGTATCCAATCTATGTCTAAAAGTAAAAGGTATAAAATGCAAAGCACATAAAGATAAATCACATACCCTAGAAGACTACATAATGCAAGCAACAAGGCTTAAAACCAATTGCAATCGCAATTGATCTACCAAGCTTTCCTAGTGGACCTATACGGGATCATAAATGGTGCCAGGTTCATTTGTTTCAATTTTAATGTTGCATAGCAGATTGAGCTACCAGAAAAAGTCATTACTATCACTCAGTTGCAGATGACTCAAAATTGCATGTTGTTACGTCGATCAGTCCTTCATGTGGTAATAGTAAGTTCTTCATGAGGCGTGTTGGAAATTTTGTGGGTTGGAAGTTTGTCTTCCATCCTACATTGGTAGATAAAGAATTTCTAGAGAAGCTTATAAGGCTTTCTCTAGAAGTGGGCTTTGAACATGGACTCATGGTGGGGGTCTTGAGTGGAAGGCCCAACACACACGCGCGCGGGTGGCCGAGGACGGGATTCGCGAAAGTGGTGCAAGGAGGCACACTTTGCACACCGCATCGGAGCAGAAGAAGCCTCGCTTTTTGGTACAAAGTAGAGAGAAGAAGGAAAATAACTGTTTTTATTTTGAAAAAAATCGGTTTTTGACTTGGTTTAACCACGATTTAGAGATAATGGTCATTGGAGAAAAATCCTCCAACGTGATCTGCGTTTTTCGGGGAGGATTTCGTATAAAGTTGAAGGCTTCACCCGGTATAAAAATTGGGTTGAAGCCAACTGTGATAATCGGATATTGGTTATCACCTGAGGTAATTAATATGTGATTATTTTGATTATGTTACAACATGATAAATTTTTATATTTGGTTATACTAGTGTGTGAAATTATGTGCATAAATGAGTATGCAACAAATATGTGGGTATTTATATGCATGAATGAATGTATGATGCATGTATGCATGTGAATGCAAGCATGAAATGTATATCATGCATAAGGGATGCATGGTTAGAGGCGGTTTAGCCGCCATGCTCTTTTTAGAAAGAGTATAAAAGGGGTGAGAGGTTATCATTTTACTTTCTTGGCCATTTTGAAAATTTGGGAGAAATTTGAAGAGAAAACTTGTCCAGATTACTTGCTATATGTGACATCTGTCATTTTTGGAGCGTCAGGTTAGCACCTTTATAAGGTTCTTATATTTAGAATTATATTTTATTAGGATCTAGTCATGATGATTAGAATTCATCTGGCTTAGTTCCCAAAATATAGTTCAGAAAACCTTGTTTCGACGGGTAACTGATAAAGTTAACTTATGTAATGCCAAATATATTAAAAAATGCTCCAAATATAATAAAGTTGATATTATAAAGTCCAAATTAAAATATAAAAGTCTCATTTTAATGTCCAAATAATTTTACCAAAAATGTGGAACTTTGATTTAATAATGATATTTTTATCAATATTTTAAAAAATGTATTTTTGTTATAATTTAAAATGGGCTTTATTTTGTTTAAAAGAAAAATAAAAATTTTATTGTTATGGACTTGGGCCTTAAGAGGCCGGCCCTTTTATTCACATTTAAAACACATATAAAAACCCCATTTCTTTTGAAATCTTCATTTTCTCTTTCGCTCCAACCGAAATCACCCTCCAAAACCTCTCAACTTCCATCAACTTGAAGAACATTCAACACTTCAAGAAGTAGCAAGCAAAGGTAATTGACTAGTTACATTATCCTTATTTTTCGGCATGATTTCTCATCTTCTACACTTTTCTTCTTTCTCCTTTTTATAAACAAACTTTCTAGAGAATCTAAGATGGGAGATTATACATCAATGACATGAAAATGTTCTCAAAATGATGATAATCTATGACCTACAAACATTAGAACTCAAGAAAAGTTGGAAAAAGTGCTTGCATGTGGGTTTTTGTCCATAAAAAGAGTAAGCTTTGAACCTTCAAGTGTTTAAAACAAAATAAAGTAGGTAAAACCCACTTTGGACGACCATATCTCTCTGGATATTCCTCCAAAATGGCTTATTTTTCTTCTAGAACTTATTTTAATGAGTTATCTTTCGAATGAAACTAGTCTCACTCAAAAATATTAAGTTTTGAGCCTTCAAGTTCTTGATACAAGATTATGGTGCAAAAAGAGCATTGCTGACAGAATCTTGCATGCCTTTTAAAACGATTATATCTTCTTCAAAACTCAATAAAAATGGGTGATTCTTTTTCTGGAAGTTATCCTTATCTGTTAGCTTTAAAATAAAATTAAAATCACTGAAAAATGATGAGTTTAGACCCCCCAAATGGCCGTCACTCGAATAACGTGCAATCTGTCTTGGGGACTATGTCACTCAAAGTTGTAGGGTAATGATGAGTGCCTTAAACCCATCCAAAATTCTTGATATTTGGGAAAAATCTATTTAACTCATTATTATTGATGGTATAAAAATTTGGACACAAAATGACTTTTGGAAGGTTCCTTTTAACGGTGATTTGTGAGACCAAAAATTCCAGAAACAAAATTTGCATTATGTCCAAGTGGTAACTCTCTGTGCAAAGGACTTTGATTTTAAAATGTATAATTTCTGGACTATTTTAAGAGCAAATGATATAAGTATCAACTTTAATTCATAAAAACTCATTGGCATTACATAACATATAATTTGACATTATCTTTATCGAGACCCGATAGGTGATCTAATTTTTGGATTTCGGACTGTTTAGGAAAGTTAGGGCGGACGTGTAGTGCTTCAAACGTCATCAAATTCTTGGATATTCATCAGCAAACTTGTGAGTATTCACGGCCCCACTTTTAATGCTTTTTGTTTATTTAAACTGGGGGAAAAGCATGAAGTTATGCAAACTATACTGTTTATTTGTAAAATTGTTGGACTAAAGAACTGTTTAGTCAAGATTTTTTGAAGTCATAAAAAATTGACTGTATTGCACTATGGTATAAATGGTAAATTGATGTACTTGAGAGGATATATTTTAAAAAGTCCCCTCCCGTAAACGCTACTAGTTAACTCGGGCACGTTCCGGGGCCGTGGTAATTGTGGATAGCCGCTATTGTGTTGACAGTTCCAACCCAAAAACGGGTGCACATTACCTATGTTTAATAGTCTACTCATGTGTGCGAACGGGCCACCGCTGAAGTAGTACTGATATGAACCATGGTACCTTAGTGAGCGCGGGCCACTTTATGGTAGTTCGTAAAATAATGGGGCACATTGGTCAGGAAAGGCTCAATATCGTCTCAAAGTTTTAAACATCGTTATAGATTTACATTTATCGTGTGCAAGTTTATGTATTAGTTTGCAAGAATTGATTTATGCATGGTAAATATTTTTGTGCATGTGAAAACCTGTGAACTCATCAACTCTTTGTAGTTGACGTTGTTTTATGTTTCATGCTTTTCAGGAAATAAGTAAGAAATGAAGTTTTTGGAGCATATATGTGACGACACCGATTAAGTTCATTTTGAAACTTTTGTAAAGAATTACTCTATTCCAACTTGGTTATGGATGTTAAATTCGAATTTTGTAAACTTGAATGGTGTTATTTAATATCTGTTGTTGTGACTCGCTTACTTGTTACATCTCGTGTTTCCGCTTTAATGGGGTGTTACAGATTTGGTATCAGAGCCTCAGTTATAGAGAACACCGGTTTTCCCTTAAAAACCATAAACTATAACCAAATATTTTCAAAATAGTTTTCAAGTGATTTAAATATATATATATATATCTATACTATATTATAAAGCATTTGGCTAAAACTCTTAAAAACTCTTAAAACTCTTAAACTCTTAAAAACAACCTTTTAAGCATATAGTACAACCTATTAAAGCCAAATTACTTAAAAACCACCTCTATTGCTAATAGTACAACCTATTAAAGCGACCCCTAAACCGTTCAAATCAAAACTCTATCATGTTTCATCGCCAACAGAAATCCCAATTTCTCTCCCTTCTAGACGATTTCATCGCCCAGCAGATTTTGAAGAATACGGAATTCTCGGTTTAATCTCTACTTCAAACCATCAAGGTGAGTTCTCCATTAATCTCTACTTCTCTACTGGGTTATTTTTCTACTCCCAATTTCCTCTCCAAGAAATCGATTCCTGCTCCCAAAGCATCGATTCCTTCTCCCAAGGCAACGATTTCTTCTCCAATTGCAGGAATTCACGCTCTTGAAACCACCAAGTTAAGTTCTCCATTAATCTCTACTTCTCTACTGTGTTCTTT